ACATAGAGTGCAGCAAACCTGAGAATTTTGGGAATGTTGCCAGAATTTTTTTACCCTAATCCAGACATTCTTCTCAACAAAGTTTGAGCTCCAAATGGCTCTAACCAGAAATTAAATGGATATACACTACCGGTCAAAAGTTTTAGAACACCTACTCATTCAAGGGTTTTTCTTTATTTTTACTAATTTCTACATTGTAGAATAATAGTGAAGACATAAAAACTATGAAATAACACATATGGAATCATGGAGTAACCAAAAAAGTGTTAAACAAATCAAAATAGATGTTATATTTGAGATTCTTCAAATAGCCACCCTTTGCCTTGATGACAGCTTTGCACACTCTTGGCATTCTCTCAAACAGCTTCACCTGAAATGCTTTTCCAACAGTCTTGAAGGACTTCCCACATATGCTGAGCACGTGAAGAGGGCACGACAAACCTATTCCCCCTAAGGAGACTGAAAAGATTTGGCATGGGTCCTCAGATCCTCAAAAGGTTCTACAGCTGCACCATCGAGAGCATCCTGACTGGTTGCATCACTGCCTGGTATGGCAACTGCTCGGCCTCCGACCCCAAGGCACTGCAGAGGTAGTGCGTACGGCCCAGTACATCCTGGGGCCAAACTTCCTGCCATCCAGGACCTCTATACCAGGGGGTGTCAGAGGAAGGCCCTAAGGCACCCTAGGCATAGACTGTTCTCTCTGCTACCGCACGGCAAGCAGTACCGGAGTGCCAAGTCTAGGTCCAAGAGGCTTCTAAACAGCTTCTACCCCCAAGCCATAAGACTCCTGAACATCTAATCAAATGGCTACCCGGACTATTTGCACTGCCCCCCTCTTTTACGCTGCTGCTACTCTCTGTTTATTATCTATGCATTGTCACTTTAATAACTCTACCTACATGTACATATTACCTCAATTACCTTGACTAACCGGTGCCCCCGCACATTGACTCGGTACCGGTACCCCCTGTATATAGCCTCGCTATTGTTATTTTTACTGCTGGTCTTTAATCATTTGTTACTTTTATTTCGTATGATTTTATTTTTTATTATTTTGTGTGATTTTTGTGGGTATTTTTTCTTAAAACTGCATTGTTGGTTAAGGGCTTGTAAGTAAGCATTTCACTGTAAGGTCTACACTTGTTGTATTCGGCGCATGTGACGAATAACATTTGATTTGATTTGTTGGCTGCTTTTCCTTCACTCTGCAGTCCGACTCATCCCAAACCATCTCAATTTGGTTGAGGTCGGGGGATTGTGGAGGCCAGGTCATCTGATGCAGCACTCCATCACTCTCCTTCTTGGTAAAATAGCCCTTACACAGCCTGAAGGTGTGTTGGGTCATTGTCCTATTGAAAAACAAATGATAGTCCCACTAAGACCACACCAGATGGGTTGGCGTATCGCTGCAGAATGCTGTGGTAGCCATGCTGGTAAGTGTGCCTTGAATTCTAAATAAATCACTGATAGTGTCACCAGCAAAGCACCCCCACACCATAACACCTCCTCCTCCATGCTTTACGGTGGGAAACGGTGGGAAACACACATGCAGTTGGAACCAAAAATCTCAAATTTTGACTCATCAGACCAAAGGACAAATTTCCACCGGTCTAATGTCCATTGCTCGTGTTCTTGGCCCAAGCAAGTCTCTTCTTCTTATTGGTGTCCTTTAGTAGTGGTTTCTTTGCAGCAATTCGACTATGAAGGCCTGATTCACACAGTCTCCTCTGAACAGTTGATGTTGAGATGTGTCTGTTACTTGAACTCTGTGAAGCATTTATTTGGGCTGCAATTTCTGAGGCTGGTAACTCTAATGAACGTATCCTCTGCAGCAGAGGTAACTCTGGGTCTTCCATTCCTGTGGCGGTCCAGTTTCATCATAGCGCTTGATGTTTTTTGCGACTGCACTTGAAGAATCTATAAAAGTTCTTGAAATGTTCCATATTGACTGACCTTCATGTCTTAAAGTAATGATGGATTGTCATTTCTCTTTGCTTATTTGAGCTGTTCTTGCCATAATATGGACTTGGTCTATCTTCTGTACCCCCCCCCCCCCCCCCCCCCCCCCACAAATTAACTTTTAAGAAGGCACACCTGTTAATTGAAATGCATTCCAGGTGACACTACCTCATGAAGCTGATTGAGTGAATGCCAAGAGTGTGCAAAATTGTCATCAAGGCAAAGGGTGGCTATTTGAAGAATCTCAAATATAACATATATTTTGATTTGTTTAACACTTTATTGGTTACTACATGATTCCATATGTGTTATTTCATAGTTTTGATGTCTTCACTATTATTCTACAATGTATAAAATAGTAAAAATAAAGAAAATCCCTTGAATGAGTAGGTGTTCTAAAACTTTTGACCGGTAGTATATATCCATTTAATTTCTGGTAAGAGCCATTTGGAGCTCAAGCTTTGTTGAGAAGAATGTCTGGATTAGGGTAAAAGAATTCTGGTAACATTCCCAAAATTCTCAGGTTTTCCTGAAATTTTGGTGGGAGGATTCTGGATTTCCTGCGTATTCCCACCCGATTCCAGGAATCTTCCAACCGGGATTCCTGAAAAACCTGGGAAAGTTATCATTTTTCAACCCTAGTCTGGATGCTGAGTTTGTACTGCACGTACCTCTGAAGACCTGGTGGTTGTTCTTGAGCAGGGTCTACAGACCTCCACAGAGTCTCCTGCTCCAACAGCTCAGCTACCTTGCTCCCTGACAGACTGCCTGAAGAGCAGAGCGTGAGGAGGAGTGCATTTGGAATGAAAAAGGAGAGGAAGGTGGTTAAGGGTTCAAGAATGGAGTAGGAGGAGAAGGATGAAATGTTGAGGTTAGGAGTGACTGGAGAGCCTTTTGGGATGGCACAGGCTTGTTTCCCAAATGGCACCCTATTTCTTATATAGTGCACTACTTTTGACCAAAATGGGTCACTGGTCAAAAGTAGTGCACTACAAAGGGAATACGGAGAGATAATTAGAGCCTCAAAAAAGAACTTGTTCTCTTAGACATTTCATCTCAGGTGTCAGACAGTCAGAGCTGTGAAGTCAATTAAACTCAGTCCAACATGCTGTCATAAGAGAACATTTCGCCACCTCAGTTCCCCAGCGTCATTTCAGATACCAACGAGTTAGGAGAGAGGGAGATATTAAAATTAACCCATTCCCGCAGGCTGCTTTAGAAAATGGTTATGCATGGCCAAAAACTATTTTGGTGTTTCCACGATATTTGTAAGCCAAGATATGAATTCCCAGTGGAGTTCACGGAAGAGCAGCTAGCCAACCTTTAAGTTCCATTTCATGGACATTAAAGTATTTCTGGATTTGCTTTCCCTTCTCCATGGAGAATTCAATCTGTTTTGACCTTTGGTTCATATAAATGACAATCTCATCTTCTCTCTTTGGCATATGTGAGTGCAGTTCCACCTTAGGTTCCCCCATGTTGTTGTTGTTTTTTACATCATTATAGATCTATAGACGACAGTTGCGAGGATAGCCCATGTGTCTATTATATCAGACCCAGTTGTCTGGACAGTGGGCACCCCATTGTGACTTCCCTGCTGTGGCAAAGCTTTTACCCTCTTACCAACAAATGACAGTGCAATACTTGTCAATCAATCACCAAGGGCCCTCCACTCTAGATTATCAACTTCAAAACTGTTCTGTTGATTTTGTATAAAAAGGTGTTAAACATGGCCTACTTAGCTTACATAGAGATTATTGTTACAGTACTGTATGCAACATATTCAAGACACTCCACTTTTGTTTTGTTTGCAACTAGGGATAGTATGCCAAGGTACGTGTGAACAGTGGGCAGCTGGCAGCAGGTTGGCATTTATTGTCAGGAATCTTACCCTGGAGGCAGCTCTGCAAAGTGGTCACCAGCTGGCACAGCCACAAATTCATAAAATCTGATTTTAAACCTAACCTTAACCACACTGCTAACCCTAACCTTTATGATACAGACAATTCTGACTTTGCATCTGGCCCATTTAGCGGAAATCACTCAGTTCTGCCTCCAGGGCAAGATTCAGGACAAACGTCAACCTGCAGGGGCCCGGGGCCTTAATATAACATCAATACAACGTTTACAGCTGCCCTTTAGAGACCATAGCCTACACTGCTAATTGAGATGAATGGGTTAACTGGGGCTATTGACAATGTGGAATTAGTCTGGACCTGGACTGGACTCCTAGACGGTTATAAATGGATTGTCCATAGATACTGTGTTTGTGTACTGCTGTGAGCACAAGGTTGATTACACGTTAGCATTTATTTACTGAATAAGAAGAAACAGAGATACTCTATTATTATTTTTGCCTCTGTTTGAGCCCTTATACTAAAATAGTGAATACTAAGCAGAACTGCCATCTAAAAATACAATACAAAAATGTCACAATACCTGTAAAAATGTAGGCACAAAACCTTTCATCCGACCATACAGTGTTTGATTACAATTAGTAGGCTAGTCGACTAGAAGAATGAATTACACAGTATGAGATTGTGGAAATTATTGCATCTTATGGTTCTTGTGTTCCTTTCAAACTTGCATGAGGCGATTGTTTAGCTTGTCCATTGTTTGTCACATCTATTGAGAGAGATACAGTGAAACTCAGGAGCTAGCAGCACCATAAGTGAACTGGTAGAAATACCTCAACACAAATACAGTCATGTATAAAAGATTAATCAGAATGCATTATTCATCTATTCATCTCCATCTTGGGTTACAGGTGCTCTGTCTGCTCTCTAATTCCAGTCCTGACAGAGATTCTTCTGTTTTAATCAGAGTAGACTTCATCTCCTTATCCCATCTATCGTACATTGGGTGCAGGTGTGTGTGTGTGTAGGATGAGGGGAGGGGATAATCCGGAGGGGGTTGATAAAGGAGAGATGGGGGCGGTGTGTGTGTGTGTGTGTGTGTGTGATACAGGATGTAGCTGGCAGAGGATGAAACACTGACAGGGTTCAAAGCAGGGTCGCACTGCGCCACCAGGGGCCTTCCTATTCCTGAGAGAGAGAGAGAGATAGACATGGAGACATACAGGCTGAGGTAGGGGTTGACGTTAAAGACATAAGGGACCTATCATGACCTTAACGTTGCTGCACACACCCCATCATCCTGAATTCCACTGGGTCAACTATACACCATGTGGTGCAGTGTACATAAACCCAATGCACTCCATTATAGTAATGAACCACAGAGCAGATATGTAGTTTTTGCTCTTTATTCCTAAACCTAATATGACCTCAATTACAGCTCATGTTTTGAAGGAGAGATTACTCTGTGATTTGATTGACAGCTGGTAGATCCTTGACTTTCCCACCAGACACACCTGTAGAGTAAGGGGTTAAATTAAAACAATGTGAGTGGCTTATGTTAACCTGTACTGTGTGTTGTTTTTATTTATTTGTAATTTAGCAGACGCTCTTATCCAGAGCAACTTACAGTAGTGAGTGCATACATTTTCATACTTTTTCCCCTTGAGAATCGAACCCACAACCCTGGCGTTGCAAGCATCATGCTCTACCAACTGAGCCACACGGGACCGTGTGTTCAAGTGTCGTTGTTAGCATTAGCATACCCGCTTTGTGGAGTGGATTCTCAGGCAGTCGTCCTCTGTGTTGAACCCACAGGCTGTGCTGATCTCAGAGATGAAGTCTGGTACTTCTGAAACTGTCTCCGCTGGTACTTCCCATAGAAGTCAAAGAAACAGCAGGGCAGGACAAAGTACCGGCAGGAGGATGACTTAATGTGGGAGGAAAGTGACAGAAATTACACATCAAAACCATCCTTTATTTCTCTGGTTGAGTCTTATTAAAAAGGAAAGCTCTTTTCGAGGAGAACCCTGGCCAAGCAGAGGTAGCAGGCATCATAGAGGTGAGCATGTACTGTAGGAACAACTGATTTAAGTACAACTGACTCAAAGTTGGGTGTAAAAGAAACGAGGACAATTTAAAGCCTATGGAGCTGTGAGGCATCATTAAGTATTGTTGCAGCATTCAAACCAGAGCAAGAGACTAACTTCAAGAGCCAAGCTCAACATCGCCATCAGGTGGCCGCCGCTTCAAACATCCCTTCACACATCAACACACCTCCATTCTCCCTCTCCCCAAACCAACCCAACTCATGAAAATAATATTATTTCAAATTCAATAGATCAGCTGCCACTTGAGGCAGCTAAACCAAATTGTGTCTGCTGATGACTTGCCTGGCCGCTATAACGGGGATCCACGGCGTGAGCTCGTCGGAGTGGTTTCCAATCATTCAGTCTGTGCCTGGGAATAAGAAGCCATCACACACACACACACACACACACACACCCAAAAGCACAGGAGACTTCTTTAGATCAGAGAGACGCATCGCCGACTGTAATTCGATTTTTGAATCATTCATTTTTAAAATTACAAATGACTTGTGACACCCCCCAGCCGCTCTCTGTCGCGAAAGAACAACTCTGTTGCCAACTTTTAATATTGAAGGAGGATAACATCTTGATATTGTTATCCCAGCTCATTTTGTGCCTGGGTGGGTATAAGGAAGGGTGATCTGAAATACTGAGTCAGATGAGGTTACAAATTCAATATATGTACAGTACCAGTCAAAAGTTTGGACACACCTACTCATTCCAGTGTTTTTCTTTATTTTTACTATTTTCTACATTGCAGAATAATAGAGAAGACATCAAAACTATTAAATAACACATATGGAATCATGTAGTAACCAAAAAAGTGTTAAACAAATCAAAATATATTTTATATTTGAGATTCTTCAAAGTAGCCACCCTTTGCCTTGATGACAGCTTTGTACACTCTTGGTATTCTCTCAACCAGCTTCACCTGGAATGCTTTTCCAACAGTCTTGAAGGAGTTCCCACATATGCTGAGCACTTGTTGGCTGCTTTTCCTTCACTCTGTGGTCCAACTCATCCCAAACCATCTCAATTGGGTTGAGATTGTGGAGGCCAGGTCATCTGATGCAGCACTCCATCACTCTCCTTCTTGGTTAAATAGCTCTTACACAGTAAAAATCTCAAATTTGGACTCATCAGACCAAAGGACAAATTTCCACCGGTCTAACGTCCATTGCTCGTGTTTCTTGGCCCAAGCAAGTCTCTTCTTCTTCTTATTTGTGTACTTTGGTAATGGTTTCTTTGCAGCAATTCAACAATGAAGCCCTGATTCACGCAGTCTCCTCTGAACAGTTGATGTTGAGATGTGTCTGTTACTTGAACTCTTTGATGCATTTATTTGGGCTGCAATCTGAGATGCAGTTAACTCTAATGAACTTATCCTCTGCAGCAGAGGTAACTCTGGGTTTTCCTTTCCTGTGGCGGTACTCATGAGAGCCAATTTCATCATAGCGCTTGATGGTTATTGCGACGGAACTTGAAGAAACTTTAAACGTTCTTGACATTTTATGGAATGAAGTAATGATGGACTGTAGTTTCTCTTTGCTTATTTGGTATTTTACCAAATATGTCTATCTTCTGTTTACCCCTATCCCATCACCATGTTCTAGTCTAGACACCATCATATCCCATCACCATGTTCTAGTCTAGACATCATCATATCCCATCACCATGTTCTAGCCTAGACACCATCGTATCCCATCACCATGTTCTAGTCTAGACACCGTCATATCCCATCACCATGTTATAGCCTAGACACCATCATATCCCATCACCACGTTCTGGTCTAGACACCATCATATCCCATCACCATGTTCTAGCCTAGACACCATCATATCCCAATACCATGTTCTAGTCTTGACACCATCATACCCCATCACCATGTTCTAGCCTAGACACCATCATATCCCATCACCATGTTCTAGTCTAGACACCATCGTATCCCATCACCATGTTCTAGTCTAGACACCATCATATCCCATCACCATGTTCTAGTCTAGACACCATCATATCCCATCACCATGTTATAGCCTAGACACCATCATATCCCATCACTGTGTTATAGTCTAGACACCATCATATCCCATCACCATGTTCTAGCCTAGACACCATCATATCCCATCACCATGTTCTAGCCTAGACACCATCATATCACATCACCATGTTCTAGTCAAGACACCATCATATCCCATCACCATGTTCTAGTCTAGACACCATAATATCCCATCACCATGTTATAGCCTAGACACCATCATATCCCATCACCATGTTATAGCCTAGACACCATCATATCCCATCACCATGTTCTAGCCTAGACACCATCATATCCCATCACCATGTTCTAGTCTAGACACCATCATATCCCATCACCATGTTCTAGCCTAGACACCATCATATCCCATCACCATGTTCTAGTCTAGACACCTAAATATCCCATCACCATGTTCTAGTCTAGACACCATCATATCCCAATACCATGTTATAGTCTTGACACCATAATATCCCATCACCATGTTCTAGCCTAGACACCATCATATCCCAATACCATGTTCTAGTCTTGACACCATCATATCCCATAACCATGTTCTAGCCTAGACACCATCATATCCCAATACCATGTTCTAGTCTTGACACCATCATATCCCATCACCATGTTCTAGTCTTGACACCATCATATCCCATCACCATGTTCTAGCCTAGACACCATCATATCCCATCACCATGTTCTAGTCTAGACACCATCGTATCCCATCACCATGTTCTAGTCTAGACACCATCATATCCCATCACCATGTTCTAGTCTAGACACCATCATATCCCATCACCATGTTCTAGTCTTGACACCATCATATCCCATAACCATGTTCTAGCCTAGACACCATCATATCCCAATACCATGTTCTAGTCTTGACACCATCATATCCCATCACCATGTTCTAGTCTTGACACCATCATATCCCAATACCATGTTCTAGTCTTGACACCATCATATCCCATCACCATGTTCTAGTCTTGACACCATCATATCCCATCACCATGTTCTAGCCTAGACACCATCATATCCCAATACCATGTTCTAGTCTTGACACCATCATATCCCATAACCATGTTCTAGCCTAGACACCATCATATCCCAATACCATGTTCTAGTCTTGACACCATCATATCCCATCACCATGTTCTAGCCTAGACACCATCATATCCCATCACCATGTTCTAGTCTAGACACCATCATATCCCAATACCATGTTCTAGTCTTGACACCATCATATCCCATCACCATGTTCTAGCCTAGACACCATCATATCCCAATACCATGTTCTAGTCTTGACACCATCATATCCCATAACCATGTTCTAGCCTAGACACCATCATATCCCAATACCATGTTCTAGTCTTGACACCATCATATCCCATCACCATGTTCTAGTCTTGACACCATCATATCCCATCACCATGTTCTAGCCTAGACACCATCATATCCCATCACCATGTTCTAGTCTAGACACCATCGTATCCCATCACCATGTTCTAGTCTAGACACCATCATATCCCATCACCATGTTCTAGTCTAGACACCATCATATCCCATCACCATGTTCTAGTCTTGACACCATCATATCCCATAACCATGTTCTAGCCTAGACACCATCATATCCCAATACCATGTTCTAGTCTTGACACCATCATATCCCATCACCATGTTCTAGTCTGGACACCATCGTATCCCATCACCATGTTCTAGTCTTGACACCATCATATCCCATCACAATGTTCTAGCCTAGACACCATCATATCCCAATACCATGTTCTAGTCTTGACACCATCATATCCCATAACCATGTTCTAGCCTAGACACCATCATATCCCAATACCATGTTATAGTCTTGACACCATCATATCCCATCACCATGTTCTAGTTTTGACACCATCATATCCCATCACCATGTTATAGCCTAGACACCATCATATCCCATCACCATGTTCTAGTCTAGACACCATCATATCCCATCACCATGTTCTAGCCTAGACACCATCATATCCCATCACCATGTTATAGCCTAGACACCATCATATCCCATCACCATGTTCTAGCCTAGACACCATCATATCCCATCACCATGTTCTAGCCTAGACACCATCATATCACATCACCATGTTCTAGTCAAGACACCATCATATCGCAATCACCATGTTCTAGTCTAGACACCACAATATCCCATCACCATGTTCTAGTCTTGACACCATCATATCCCATCACCATGTTCTAGCCTAGACACCATCATAACCCATCACCATGTTCTAGCCTAGACACATCATATCCCATCACCATGTTCTAGCCTAGACACCATCATATCCCATCACCATGTTCTAGCCTAGACACCATCGTATCCCATCACCATGTTCTAGTCTAGACACCATCATATCCCATCACCATGTTCTAGTCTAGACACCATCATATCCCATCACCATGTTCTAGTCTTGACACCATCATATCCCATAACCATGTTCTAGCCTAGACACCATCATATCCCAATACCATGTTCTAGTCTTGACACCATCATATCCCATCACCATGTTCTAGTCTGGACACCATCGTATCCCATCACCATGTTCTAGTCTTGACACCATCATATCCCATCACAATGTTCTAGCCTAGACACCATCATATCCCAATACCATGTTCTAGTCTTGACACCATCATATCCCATAACCATGTTCTAGCCTAGACACCATCATATCCCAATACCATGTTATAGTCTTGACACCATCATATCCCATCACCATGTTCTAGTCTTGACACCATCATATCCCATCACCATGTTATAGCCTAGACACCATCATATCCCATCACCATGTTCTAGTCTAGACACCATCATATCCCATCACCATGTTCTAGCCTAGACACCATCATATCCCATCACCATGTTATAGCCTAGACACCATCATATCCCATCACCATGTTCTAGCCTAGACACCATCATATCCCATCACCATGTTCTAGCCTAGACACCATCATATCACATCACCATGTTCTAGTCAAGACACCATCATATCGCATCACCATGTTCTAGTCTAGACACCACAATATCCCATCACCATGTTCTAGTCTTGACACCATCATATCCCATCACCATGTTCTAGCCTAGACACCATCATAACCCATCACCATGTTCTAGCCTAGACACATCATATCCCATCACCATGTTCTAGCCTAGACACCATCATATCCCATCACCATGTTCTAGCCTAGACACCATCATATCCCATCACCATGTTCTAGTCTAGACACCATCATATCCCAATACCATGTTCTAGTCTAGACACCATCATATTCCATCACCATGTTCTAGCCTAGACACCATCATATCCCATCACCATGTTCTAGTCTAGACACCATCATATCCCATCACCATGTTCTAGCCTAGACACCATCATATCCCATCACCATGTTATAGCCTAGACACCATCATATCCCATCACCATGTTCTAGTGTAGACACCATCATATCCCATCACCATGTTCTAGCCTAGACACCATCATATCCCATCACCATGTTCTAGCCTAGACACCATCATATCCCATCACTATATTCTAGTCTAGACACCATCATATCCCATCACCATGTTCTAGCCTAGACACCATCATATCCCATCACCATGTTCTAGCCTAGACACCATCATATCCCATCACCATGTTCTAGTCTAGACACCATCATATCCCAATACCATGTTCTAGTCTAGACACCATCATATTCCATCACCATGTTCTAGTCTAGACACCATCATATCCCATCACCATGTTCTAGTCTAGACACCACAATATCCCATCACCATGTTTTAGTCTAGACACCATCATATCCCATCACCATGTTATAGTCTAGACACCATCGTATCCCATCACCATGTTCTAGTCTAGACACCACAATATCCCATCACCATGTTCTAGTCTAGACACCATCATATCCCATCACCATGTTCTAGTCTAGACACCATCATATCCCATCACCATGTTATAGCCTAGACACCATCATATCCCATCACCATGTTCTAGTCTAGACACCATCATATAATAATAATATAATAATATGCCATTTAGCAGACGCTTTTATCCAAAGCGACTTACAGTCATGCGTGCATACATTTTTGTGTATGGGTGGTCCCGGGGATCGAACCCACTACCTTGGCGTTACAAGCGCCGTGCTCTACCAGCTGAGCTACAGAGGACACCATCATATCCCAATACCATGTTCTAGTCTTGACACCATCATATCCCATAACCATGTTCTAGCCTAGACACCATCATGTGATGGGGTCTTGACTATCCCATAGTGGTGATGGGCTCTTGACTATCCCATAACCATGTTCAAGTCTAGACACCATCATATCCCATAACCATGTTCTAGCCTAGACACCATCATATCCCATCACCATGTTCTAACCTAGACACCATCATATCCCATCACCATGTTCTAGCCTTGACACCATCATATCCCATCACCATGTTCTAGTCTTGTAACCATCATATCCCATCAATATGTTCTAGTCTAGACACCATCATATCCCATCACCAAGTTATAGCCTAGACACCATCACCATGTTCTAGTCTAGGCACCACAATATCCCATCACCACGTTCTAGTCTAGACACCATCATATCCCATCACCATGTTCTAGCCTAGACACCATCACCATGTTCTAGTCTAGACGCATCACCATGTTCTTGTCTAGACACCATCATATCCCATCACCATGTTATAGCCTAGACACCATCATATCCCATCACCATGTTATAGGCTAGATACCATCATATCCCATCACCATGTTCTAGCCTAGACACCATCATATCCCATCACCATGTTCTAGTCTAGACACCATCATATCCCATCACCATGTTCTAGCCTAGACACCATCATATCCCATCACCATGTTCTAGCCTAGACACCATCATATCCCATCACCATGTTCTAGCCTAGACACCATCATATCCCATTACCATGTTATAGCCTAGACACCATCATATCCCATTACCATGTTCTAGCCTAGACACCATCATATCCCATCACTATGTTCTAGTCTAGACACCATCAAATCCCATCACCATGTTCTAGCCTATACACCATCATATCCCATCACCATGTTCTAGCCTAGACACCATCATATCCCATCACATTTAACATTTTTTACATTTTTAGTCATTTAGCAGACGCTCTTATCCAGAGCGACTTACAGGAGCAATTAGGGTTAAGTGCCTTGCTCAAGGGCACATCGACAGATTTTTCACCTAGTCATCACCATGTTCTAGCCTAGACACCATCATATCCCATCACCATGTTCTAGCCTAGACACATCATATCCCATCACCATGTTCTAGCCTAGACACCGTCATATCCCATCACCATGTTCTAGCCTAGACACCATCATATCCCATCACCATGTTCTAGTCTTGACACCATCATATCCCATCACTATGTTCTAGTCTAGACACCATCATATCCCATCACCATGTTCTAGCCTAGCCTAGACACCATCACCATGTTCTAGTCTAGACACCATCATATCCCATCACCATGTTCTAGTCTAGACACCATCATATCCCATCACCATGTTCTAGCCTAGACACCATCACCATGTTCTAGTCTAGACACCATCATATCCCATCACCATGTTCTAGTCTAGACACCAACATATCCATCACCATGTTCTAGTCTAGACACCATCATATCCCATCACCATGTTCTAGCCTATACACCATCATATCCCATCACCATGTTCTAGCCTAGACACCATCACCATGTTCTAGTCTAGATGCATCACCATGTTCTTGTCTAGGCACCATCATATCCCATTACCATGTTCTAGCCTAGACACCATCATATCCCATCCCCATGTTCTAGCCTAGACACCATCATATCCCATCCCCATGTTATAGCCTAGACACCATCATATCCCATCACCATGTTCTAGCCTAGCCTAGACACCATCACCATGTTCTAGCCTAGACACCATCATATCCCATCACCATGTTCTAGCCTAGACACCATCATATCCCAATACCATGTTCTAGTCTAGACACCATCATATCCCATCACCATGTTCTAGCCTAGACACAGTCATATTCCATCACCATGTTCTAGTCTAGACACCATCATATCCCATCACCATGTTCTAGCCTAGACACCATCACCATGTTCTAGTCTAGATGCATCACCATGTTCTTGTCTAGGCACCATCATATCCCATTACCATGTTCTAGCCTAGACACCATCATATCCCATCCCCATGTTCTAGCCTAGACACCATCATATCCCATCCCCATGTTATAGCCTAGACACCATCATATCCCATCACCATGTTCTAGCCTAGCCTAGACACCATCACCATGTTCTAGCCTAGACACCATCATATCCCATCACCATGTTCTAGCCTAGACACCATCATATCCCAATACCATGTTCTAGTCTAGACACCATCATATCCCATCACCATGTTCTAGCCTAGACACCATCATATCCCATCACCATGTTCTAGCCTAGACACCATCATATCCCATCACCATGTTCTAGTCTTGACACCATCATATCCCATCACTATGTTCTAGTCTAGACACCATCATATCCCATCACCATGTTCTAGCCTAGCCTAGACACTATCACCATGTTCTAGTCTAGACACCATCATATCCCATCACCATGTTCTAGCCTAGACACATCATATCCCATCACCATGTTCTAGCCTAGACACCATCATATCCCATCACCATGTTCTAGCCTAGACACCATCATATCCCATCACCATGTTCTAGTCTTGACACCATCATATCCCATCACTATGTTCTAGTCTAGACACCATCATATCCCATCACCATGTTTCTAGCCAGCCTAGACAACCATCACCATGTTCTAGTCTAGACACCATCATATCCCATCACCATGTTCTAGTCTAGACCACCATCATATCCCATCACCATGTTCTAGCCTAGACACCATCACCATGTTCTAGTCTAGACACCATCATATCCCATCACCATGTTCTAGTCTAGACACCAACATATCCACCCACCCATGTTTCTAGTCTAGACAACCATCAACCATGGTTCTAGTCTAGACAACCATCATATCCCATCACCATGTTCTAGCCTAGACACATCATATCCCATCACCATGTTCTAGCCTAGACACCATCATATCCCATCACCATGTTCTAAGCCTAGACACCATCATATCCCATCACCATGTTCTAGTCTTAAACACCATCATATCCCATCACTATGTTCTAGTCTAGACACCATCATATCCCATCACCATGTTCTAGCCTAGCCTAGACACCATCACCATGTTCTAGTCTAGCCCACCATCATATCCCATCACCTGTTCTAGCCTAGACACATCATATCCCTCACCATGTTCTAGCCTAGACACCATCATACCCCATCACCATGTTTCTAGCCTAGACACCATCATATCCCATCCCCAAAGGGTCTAGTCTTGACACCATCATATCCCATCACTATGTTCTAGTCTAGACACCATCATATCCCATCACCATGTTCTAGCCTAGCCTAGACACCATCACCATGTTCTAGTCTAGACACCATCATATCCCATCACCATGTTCTAGCCTAGACACATCATATCCCATCACCATGTTCTAGCCTAGACACATCATATCCCATCACCATGTTCTAGTCTAGACACCATCATATCCCATCACCATGTTCTAGCCTAGACACATCATATCCCATCACCATGTTCTAGCCTAGACACATCATATCCCATCACCATGTTCTAGCCTAGACACCATCATATCCCATCACCATGTTCTAGCCTAGACACCATCATATCCCATCACCATGTTCTAGTCTTGACACCATCATATCCCATCACTATGTTCTAGTCTAGACACCATCATATCCCATCACCATGTTCTAGCCTAGCCTAGACACCATCACCATGTTCTAGTCTAGACACCATCATATCCCATCACCATGTTCTAGTCTAGACACCATCATATCCCATCACCATGTTCTAGCCTAGACACCATCATATCCCATCACCATGTTCTAGCCTAGACACCATCATATCCCATCACCATGTTCTAGTCTTGACACCATCATATCCCATCACTATGTTCTAGTCTAGACACCATCATATCCCATCACCATGTTCTAGCCTAGCCTAGACACCATCACCATGTTCTAGTCTAGACACCATCATATCCCATCACCATGTTCTAGTCTAGACACCATCATATCCCATCACCATGTTCTAGCCTAGACACCATCACCATGTTCTAGTCTAGACACCATCATATCCATCACCATGTTCTAGTCTAGACACCAACATATCCATCACCATGTTCTAGTCTAGACACCATCATATCCCATCACCATGTTCTAGCCTATACACCATCATATCCCATCACCATGTTCTAGCCTAGACACCATCACCATGTTCTAGTCTAGATGCATCACCATGTTCTTGTCTAGGCACCATCATATCCCATTACCATGTTCTAGCTTAGACACCATCATATCCCATCCCCATGTTCTAGCCTAGACACCATCATATCCCATCCCCATGTTATAGCCTAGACACCATCATATCCCATCACCATGTTCTAGCCTAGCCTAGACACCATCACCATGTTCTAGCCTAGACACCATCATATCCCATCACCATGTTCTAGCCTAGACACCATCATATCCCAATACCATGTTCTAGTCTAGACACCATCATATCCCATCACCATGTTCTAGCCTAGACACAGTCATATTCCATCACCATGTTCTAGTCTAGACACCATCATATCCCATCACCATGTTCTAGCCTAGACACCATCACCATGTTCTAGTCTAGATGCATCACCATGTTCTTGTCTAGGCACCATCATATCCCATTACCATGTTCTAGCCTAGACACCATCATATCCCATCCCCATGTTCTAGCCTAGACACCATCATATCCCATCCCCATGTTATAGCCTAGACACCATCATATCCCATCACCATGTTCTAGCCTAGCCTAGACACCATCACCATGTTCTAGCCTAGACACCATCATATCCCATCACCATGTTCTAGCCTAGACACCATCATATCCCAATACCATGTTCTAGTCTAGACACCATCATATCCCATCACCATGTTCTAGCCTAGACACAGTCATATTCCATCACCATGTTCTAGTCTAGACACCATCATATCCCATCCCCATGTTCTAGCCTAGACACCATCATATTCCATCCCCATGTTATAGCCTAGACACCATCATATCCCATCACCATGTTCTAGCCTAGCCTAGACACCATCACCATGTTCTAGCCTAGACACCATCATATCCCATCACCATGTTCTAGCCTAGACACCATCATATCCCAATACCATGTTCTAGTCTAGACACCATCATATCCCATCACCATGTTCTAGCCTAGACACAGTCATATTCCATCACCATGTTCTAGTCTAGACACCATCATATTCCATCACCATGTTCTAGTCTAGACACCATCATATCCCATCCCCATGTTCTAGTCTAGACACCATCATATCCCATCACCATGTTCTAGCCTAGACACCATCATATCCCAATACCATGTTCTAGTCTAGACACCATCATATTCCATCACCATGTTCTAGCCTAGACACCATCATATCCCATCACCATGTTCTAGTCTAGACACCATCATATCCCATCACCATGTTCTAGCCTAGACACCATCGTATCCCATCACCATGTTCTAGTCTAGACACCATCATATCCCATCACCATGTTCTAGTCTTGACACCATCATATCCCATCACTATGTTCTAGTCTAGACACCATCATATCCCATCACCATGTTCTAGCCTAGCCTAGACACCATCACCATGTTCTAGTCTAGACACCATCATATCCCATCACCATGTTCTAGTCTAGACACCATCATATCCCATCACCATGTTCTAGCCTAGACACCACCATATCCCATTACTATGTTCTAGCCTAGACACCATCACCATGTTCTAGTCTAGATGCATCACCATGTTCTTGTCTAGGCACCATCATATCCCATTACCATGTTCTAGCCTAGACACCATCATATCCCATCCCCATGTTCTAGCCTAGACACCATCATATCCCATCCCCATGTTATAGCCTAGACACCATCATATCCCATCACCATGTTCTAGCCTAGCCTAGACACCATCACCATGTTCTAGTCTAGACACCATCATATCCCATCACCATGTTCTAGCCTAGCCTAGACACCATCACCATGTTCTAGTCTAGACACCATCATATCCCATCACCATGTTCTAGCCTAGACACAGTCATATCCCATCACCATGTTCTAGCCTAGACACCATCATATCCCAATACCATGTTCTAGTCTTGACACCATCATATCCCATCACCATGTTATAGCCTAGACACCATCATATCCCATCACCATGTTCTAGCCTAGACACCATCATATCCCATCCCCATGTTCTAGTCTAGACACCATCATATCCCATCACCATGTTCTAGTCGAGTCCCTAGCTAAACAAGCTAAACAATCGCCTCATGCAAGTTTGAAAGGAACACAAGAACCATAAGATGCAATCATTTCCACAATCTCATACTGCGTCATTCATTCTTCTAGTCGACTAGCCTACTAATTGTAATCAAACACTGTATGGTCGGATGAAAGGTTTTGTGCCTAAATTTTTACAGGTATTGTGACATTTTTGTATTGTATTTTTAGATGGCAGTTCTGCTTAGTATTCACTATTTTAGTATACAGGCTAAAACAGAGGCAAAAAAAATAATAGAGTATCTCTGTTTCCTCTTATTCAGTAAATAAATGCTAACGTGTAATCAACCTTGTGCTCACAGCAGTACACAAACACAGTATCTATGGACAATCCATTTATAACCGTCTAGGAGTCCAGTCCAGGTCCAGACTAATTCCACATTGTCAATAGCCCCAGTTAACCCATTCATCTCAATTAGCAGTGTAGGCCATGGTCTCTAAAGGGCAGCTGTAAACGTTGTATTGATGTTATATTAAGGCCCCGGGCCCCTGCAGGTTGACGTTTGTCCTGAATCTTGCCCTGGAGGCAGAACTGAGTGATTTCCGCTAAATGGGCCAGATGCAAAGTCAGAATTGTCTGTATCATAAAGGTTAGGGTTAGCAGTGTGGTTAAGGTTAGGTTTAAAATCAGATTTTATGAATTTGTGGCTATGCCAACTGGTGACCCCTTTTCAGAGCTGCCTCCAGGGTAAGATTCCTGACAATAAATGCCAACCTGCTGCCAGCTGCCCACTGTTCACACGTACCTTGGCATATTATCCCTAGTTGCAAACAAAACAAAAGTGGAGTGTCTTGAATATGTTGCATAATGTGGTACAGTACTGTAACAACAATCTCTATGTAAGCTAAGTAGGCCATGTTTAACACCTTTTTATACAAAATCAACAGAACAGTTTTGAAGTTGATAATCTAGAGTGGAGGGCCCTTGGTGATTGATTGACAAGTATTGCACTGTCATTTGTTGGTAAGAGGGTAAAAGCTTTGCCACAGCAGGGAAGTCACAATGGGGTGCCCACTGTCCAGACAACTGGGTCTGATATAATAGACACATGGGCTATCCTCGCAACTGTCGTCTATAGATCTATAATGATGTAAAAACAACAACAACATGGGGGAACCTAAGGTGGAACTGCACTCACATATGCCAAAGAGAGAAGATGAGATTGTCATTTATATGAACCAAAGGTCAAAACAGATTGAATTCTCCATGGAGAAGGGAAAGCAAATCCAGAAATACCTTAATCTCCATGAAATGGAACTTAAAGGTTGGCTAGCTGCTCTGCTGTGAACTCCACTGGGAATTCCTATCTTGGCTGACAATAATTGTGCAAACACTGAAAGAGTTTTTGGCTATGCATACCGATTATCTAAGGCAGCCTGGGGGAATGGGTTAATTCTAATATCTCCCTCTCTCCTAACTCGTTGGTATCTGAAATGACGCTGGGGAACTGAGGTGGCGAAATGTTCTCTTATGACAGCATGTTGGACTGAGTTTAATTGACTTCACAGCTCTGACTGTCTGACATCTGAGATGAAATGTCTAAGAGAACAAGTTCTTTTTTGAGGCTCTAATTTAGCACAATAATAATAATAATAATAATATGCCATTTAGCAGACGCTTTTATCCTAAGCGACTTACAGTCATGCGTGCATAATTATAATTTTTTTGTATGGGTGGTCCCGGGGATCGAACCCACTACCTTGGCGTTACATGCGCCGTGCTCTACCAGCTGAACTACAGAGGACCACAACTCCCTAATCTCTCAGGATGCATCCCAAATGGCACCGTATTCCCTTTGTAGTGCACTACATTTGACCAGGGACCCATTTTGGCTTTGGTCAAAAGCAGTGCACTATGTAGGAAATAGGGTGTTGTATTGATGTTATATTAAGGCCCTAGGCCCTAATTGAAATCAAGGCTGGTCCGAACCGGACCAAAAAATGACATCTGTAGATGTTGAAATCAAGGCTAGGGCGGACTGACCAAATTTGAACTACTTTTCAACGTCCATGGACGTCCGGTGTCGGTTGGTGCTCAGTGGGTGAGGATGTTGGTTACAGTAAAGGGAAAGAGAGCAGCGTGTCTTCAGATGAAACATTCAAGGCATGCAGCAGGGGAAATGTAAAGCACAGCAGAGCACAGTGCCTAGCAACAGAACCCTGCAACCCCACGTGCAATTCCATGTGTATCTATGGGGGTTTGGACTTAGGCTTTATGGGACTGTCATTTTATTTCATTTGAAAAGGTGAACGAAATAGTTAATATATTACCGTTATAATACCTACTGTACATATCATCTGAATTAATCTGGTATTCACAAATATTTCAAATAGTGCAATAGTTTTGGTTTCTTTGAAATAAAAAAAGGGAATTCAAAATATCCTCAAAGCCCTCAAAATGAAGTTGATCTAGGGGTCTATTACAGGTACTATGAGGCTCACGCAGGATATACTCCCTCTAAAGTAACTAGCACTAGCTGATCGAAGCTGAATAAAACCACTGACCTAAAACAGTGTTTCATATAGCCCTTCCTCACCTCTAGATGTGTTTGGGGGCCGTACATATTCCAGATCTTCCGTTTCCTCACATCGATGCCCTTTCCAGGGTGCTGAAACACAAGCAGGTATGACGATCAGTCCCTAATCACTTCATCAGCGGGCAGAACTGAACGTTGGGTACACTAACACACTATCCACCTACCCCGTGTAATTTCAATTACGGCTATCCAGCATTTTGATTAGACGTTAAATCACATCACTGATTGAATATAACACTGGCATGAAATTGGCACAGATTTAGGCTGCGTCCCAAATGGCACCCTATTCCCTATACAGTGCACTATGGTCACTTCCAAGCCATCAACACCAGCATGTGAAGTTCATAGGAGCATGTCAAATAGGGTGTCAAATGGCTCAGGGGCGACAGGTAGCTTAGTGGTTAATAGTGTTGTGCCAGTAATCGAAAATTCGCTGGTTCTAATCCCCGAGCCGACTAGGTGAAAAATCTGTCGATGTGCCCTTGAGCAAGGCACTTAACCCTAATTGCTCCTGTAAGTCGCTCTGGATAAGAGCGTCTGCTAAATGACTAAAATGTAAATGAAAACTAAGAGTAAACCATTTTATTTATTACGGTATGTATGCATTTTTCAACCATTTTCCATCCCAAAAAATCAGAATAAGCCAAGACTTTTATTTATTGTCAAAACGATGGAAAAGGTGTCTTCGACAACATCTACCAGAAAAAGTCTTAAAAGGTATTAGAAATACACCAACACACAATGTTGAAGTAAAGACCCCTGCCAACTAATATCAACACTTATATTTCGTTTTGCATAATTTTTTGCCTTTAAGAAACATTGCCTCGTGCCTTGAAATTCCATTAACAAAAATCCACTTATCTTTAAGATATTTTCTAATTTCTCTCCCTCATGAGGGAGGATAATGAAAGTTCACAGAAGTAACAAGTAAAGGTAGACCTATCAATTAGTTAGTGTTTTTACTGATATCAATTTTGTTTATGAATTATTAAGTGATTAAAACTCATCAACCGAATTTCAGAAGAATCGGTAACAGAGTTTCTGCAACTGAATTGGTTACAATGGGAAATCATAGTAGTCAGAAACCACAGTTGGGTTACCTGCTACTGTCCTCCCTTCCACTGGCATAACTGTTTTCTTCCTCTTTCTGGTGGTCAAAGCAAGAGTGCGAAAAGTCTGGACAACACCTCCCTCTCACTCTCTCTTTTCTCTCCAATTAATATCACATATCTCGGCTCCTACGGACACCTACCCATGAGCCCCCTCTCTTTCCATTTACTGTAACCAACATCCTCACCCACTGAGCACCAATCGACACCGGACATCCATGGACGTTGAAAAGTAGTTTAAATTTGGTCAGTCCGCACTGGCCTTGATTTCAACATGCACAGACGTCTGGACCGGTCTTAATTTGGCCCAAATATAGACTTCCATGACTGGTTCAGATTTGGTCCGGTCTGGACCAAATCTGAACCAATCATAGAGATCTATGTTTCACAAGGTTGGACAGCACAGTACAGTAGAGCACAGTACCGTAAAGAAAAGTAGAGTATAGTTCAGTACAGTATAGAGCTGAGCAATATGGACAAAAATCGATTTTGTGATAAATTGCCTAATTGATCCGATAACAATAAATAGAACAATACCTTTATAACATTAATCTGCACCACAGTTTTTATTTTATTATCCTTTAAACTACTACTATTGGTTTTATGGTTGTAGCCATCAATTGTCCCATTAACAATCACCCATATTAGTCAACTTATTTCATTTCAAACTTCACATTTCTCTAGTATAGGCTACTTATCGTAATGAATGATACCAGCAAAATGCCTGCGATAAGTGATCGGTATGGTTGTTGTCGATCATTTTCGGTTTATCATCCCAGCTCTAGTACAGTACAGTACAGAAAAGGAAATTAGAGTATAGTTCAGTAAAAGTAGAGTATAGTTCAGTACAATACAGTCCTGTGCAGTAGAGTACAGTCGTGGTCAAAAGTTTTGAGAATGACACAAATACTAATTTTCACAAAGTCTGCTGCCTCAATTTTGATGATGGCAATTTGCATATACTCCAGAATGTCATGAAGAGTGATCAGATGAATTGCAATCAATTGCAAAGTCCCTCTTTGCCATGAAAATGAACTTAATCCCCAAAAAACATTTCCACTGCATTTCAGCCCTGCCACAAAAGGACCAGCTGCCGTCATGTCAGTGATTCTCTCGTTAACACAGGTGAGAGTACGAGGACAAGGCTGGAGATCACTCTGTCATGCTGATTGAGTTAGAATAACAGACAGCTTTAAAAGGAGGGTGGAGCTTGAAATCATTGTTCTTCCTCTGTTAACCATGGTTACCTGCAAGGAAACACATGCCGTCATCATTGCTTTGCACAAAAATGGCTTCACAGGCAAAGATATTGCTGCTAGTAAGATTGCACCTAAATCAACCATTTATCGGATCATCAAGAACATCAAGGAGAGAGGTTCAATTGTTGTGAAGAAGGCTTCAGGGCGCCCAAGAAAGTCCAGCAAGCGCCAGGACTATCTCCTAAAGTTGATTCAGCTGCGGGATCGGGGCACCACCAGTGCAGAGCTTGCTCAGGAATGGCAGCAGGTGTGAGAGCATCTGCACGCACAGTGAGGCGAATACTTTTGGAGGATGGCCTGGTGTCAAGAAGGGCAGCAAAGAAGCCACTTCTCTCCAGGAAAAACATCAGGGACAGACTGATGTTCTGCAAAAGGTACAGGGATTGGACTGCTGAGGACTGGGGTAAAGTCATTTTCTCTGATGAATCCCCTTTCCGTTTGTTTGGGGCATCCGGAAAACACATTGTCCGGAGAAGACAAGGTGAGCGCTACCATCAGTCCTGTGTCATGCCAACAGTAAAGCATCCTGAGACCATTCATGTGTGGGTTTGCTTCTCAGCCAAAGGAGTGGGCTCACTCACAATTTTGCCTAAGAACACAGCCATGAATAAAGAATGGTACCAACACATCCTCCGAGAGCAACTTCTCCCAACCATCCAAGAACAGTTTGGTGACGACCAATGCCTTTTCTAGCATGATGGAGCACCTTGCCATAAGGCAAAAGTGATAACTAAGTGGCTCGGGGAACAAAACATCGACATTTTGGGTCCATGGCCAGGAAACTCCCCAGACCTTAATCCCATTGAGAACTTGTGGTCGATCCTCAAGAGGCGGGTGGACAACCAAAACCCCACAAATTCTGACAAACTCCAAGCATTGATTATGCAAGAATGGGCTGCCATCAGTCAGGATGTGGCCCAGATGTTAATTGACAGCATGCCAGGGCGGATTGCAGAGGTCTTGAAAAAGAAGGGTCAACACTGCAAATATTGACTCTTTGCATAAACTTTATGTAATTGTCAATATAGATTTTTGACACTTATTGAATACTTGTTATTATACTTCAGTATACCATAGTAACATCTGACAAAAATATCTCATAACACTGAAGCAGCGAACTTTGTGAAGACCAATACTTGTGTCATTCTCAAAACTTTTGACCACGACTGTACAGTACACAGTAGAGCACACGAGTTGAGTACACTAAACTCTACTTTACTCTACTTTACTCTACTGTGCTGTACTTTGATGTACTGTACTCTACTGTGCTGTACTTTGATGTCAGAACTTGTGAAACATAGGCGTCTATGATTGGTTCAGATTCGGTCCGGTGCGGACCAACCAAATTCGGTCTTGTTTGGTGGGGAAGCTCATTAAAATAATAGTGTGTAGGATATTACCCAATTATGCAAAGGAGGACATAGAATATTTCTACCTTTGAGTTCCTATTTAGGATATATCACCATGAAGAGCATGACTTTCATATCCATAATTATGCATTTCTGTGTATTAAAGATCAGGTACCCATGATGAAATTCCGTTACCGCAATTCTGTGTAAATCCACTTCACTTACTGTAGTTCAATAACCAAAAGAGATTTTTCAAAGTGACACCCCATTCTTCCTGCAGACATCTTTGAATCTTAATTTGTGGAAAACGTGGTCACATAAAAAACTGAGGGAGATTTTTACCGAAACTCTGTTACCAAACTTTGCATCTGCACAGTTCTTCCAGTAAAGGTGTTTTTGTCAAATGTTCTGTGTAAATTGTTAAAAGTTGTCCTTGTCCATAGAGTTGTGGTCAAGTGTGGCTCAGTTGGTACAGCATGGCAATTGCAACGCCAGGATTGTGGGTTCGATTCCCACGGGGGACCAGTACGAACAAATATGAAAAAGTATGCACTCACTACTGTAAATTCATCTGGATAAGAGCGTCTGCTAAATGACAAAAAAATGTAAATATTTTAAATCAGTGTTTTTGGTTTGGCATACATTTTAAGTCTCAGCGCAATTCCATTACCATGGCATTACAGCTATGGGTCCTTGTCAAATGTAGTGCACTATAAAGGGAATACAGAGCCATTTGGGACGCACCCTAAAGCTTCTTACGACGCGCCGGCTACACCGTGTCATTGATTAAGCGTCCAGTTGACATTTGTGAATTAAAAGAAATCGGCAACAATGGTCAGTTTTCCACAGGTGTCCAGGTGTTACTATTCAGCAACAGGGCATAGCAGGTTGTTTTATGGAACTGTATTCTGGTAAACCTTGTGTAGTGTTTATTATGCAGACCCCTTCATTGCTCAGTATGTGAACCAGGAGACCATTTCCACAACCAAGATCCACAAAGGACTGTTTGACCGTCAGACCCTTCTCTGCTCGCTCCTCGCCCCATAGGACCTGTGCATTGATAAAACAATGGAGTTAATGTCATAAGAGCTGTCATTTCACGCATATTAGCATTCTGTCCATATACAGAGGAGACCTACCAAAATATATGTAGCGACAAATGTAAAGACAAATTTCTCAGGGTCTGTTACTTCAGGCCAAACCTAAACAAAGACAAATATTACAGTATGTTGGGACTTTAACATGAAAACAACATCAACAACAACAACCACTGCTACAAAGAATCTGATCTGTGAGGCTACACTATGAAATCAAATAAAATGTTATTTGCCACATGCGCCGAATACAACAGGTGTAGACATTACAGTGAAATGCTTACTTACAAGCCCATAACCAACAATGCAGTTCAAGAAAAAATAAAAATAAAAATAAAATAATTAAAGAGCAGCAGTAAAATAAAATAACAGTAGGGAGGTTATACAGTATACAAGGGGTACCGGTACAGAGTCAATGTGCGGGGGCACCGGTTAGAGGTAATTTAGGTAATATGTACATGTGGGTAGAGTTAAAGTGACTATGCATAAATAATAAACAGAGTAGCAGCAGCGTAAAAGAGGGGGTTGGGGTGGGGTGGGGTGGGGTGGAGGGGCAATGCAAATAGTCCAGGTAGCCATGCTTTTCAGGAGTCTTATGGCTTGGGGATAGAAGCTGTTAAGAAGCCTTTTGGACCTAGACTTGGCGCTCCGGTACCGCTTGCCGTGCGGTAGCAGAGAGAACAGTCTATGACTACGGTGGCTGGAGTCTATGATAATTTTTAGGGCCTTCCTCTGACACCGCCTGGTATAGAGGTCCTGGATGGCAGGCAGCTTGGCCCCGGTGATGTACTGGGCCGTACGCACTACCCTCTGTAGTGCCTTGCGGTCGGAGGCCGAGCAGTTGCCATACCAGGCAGTGATGCAACCAGTCAGGATGCTCTCGATGGTGCAGCTGTAGAACTTTTTGAGGATCTGAGGATCCATGCCAAATCTTTTCGGTCTCCTGAGGGAGATTAGGCTTTGTCGTGCCCTCTTCACGACTGTCTTGGTGTGTTTGGAACTCATCTCCTTTGTCTTGAGCACGTTGAGGGAGAGGTTGTTCTCCTGGCACCACAAGGCCAGGTCTCTGACCTCCTCCCTATAGGCTGTCTCATCATTGTCGGTGATCAGGCCTACCACCACCAAACTTAATGATGGTGTTGGAGTCGTGCCTGGCCATGCAGTCATGGGTGAACAGGGAGTACAGGAGGGGACTGAGCACGCACCCCTGAGGGGCCCCCGTGTTGTGGATCAGCGTGGCAGATGTGTTGTTACCTACGCTTACCACCTGGGGGCGGCCCGTCAGGAAGTCCAGGATCCAGTTGCAGAGGGAGGTGTTTAGTCCCAGGGTCCTTAGCTTAGTGATGAGCTTTGAGGACACTATGGTGTTGAACGCTGAGCTGTAGGCAATGAATAGCATTCTCACGTAGGTGTTCCTCTTGTCCAGGTGGGAAAGGGCAGTGTGGAGTGCAATCGAGATTGCATCATCTGTGGATCTGTTGGGGCGGTATGCAAATTGGAGTGGGTCTAGGGTTTCTAATGGTGTTGATGTGAGCCATGACCAGCCTTTCAAAGCGCTTCATGGCTACAGACGTGAGTGCTACGGGTCGGTAGTCATTTAGGCAGGTTATCTTAGTGTTCTTGGGCACAGGGACTATGGTGGTCTGCTTGAAACATGTTGGTATTACAGACTCAGTCAGGGACATGTTGAAAATGTCAGTGAAGACACTTGCCAGTTGGTCAGCGCATGCTCGGAGTACACGTCCTGGTAATCCGTCTGACCCTGCGGCCTTGTGAATGTTGACCTGCTTAAAAGTCTTACTCACATCAGCTACAGAGAGCTTGATCACACAGTCATCCAGAACAGCTGATGCTCTAATGCATGCTTCAGTGTTGTTTGTCTCGAAGCGAGCATAGAAGTGATTTAGCTCGTCTGGTAGGCTTGTGTCACTGGGCAGCTCACGGCTGTGCTTCCCTTTGTAGTCTGTAATAGTTTTCAAGCCTTGCCACATACGACAAGCGTCCGAGCCGGTGTATTACAATTCAATCTTAGTCCTGTATTGACTCTTTGCCTGTTTGATGGCTGGTCGGAGGGCATAGCGGGATTCTTATAAGTGTCCGGGTTCGAGTCCCGCTCCTTGAAGGCGGCAGCTCTACCCTTTAGCTCAGTGTGGATGTTGCTTGTAATCCATGGCTTCTGGTTGGGGTATGTACGTACGGTCCCTGTGGGGACGACATCATCGATGCACTTATTGATGAAGCCAGTGACTGATGTGGTGTACTCCTCAATGATATCGGAAGAATCCCGGAACATATTCCAGTCTGTGCTAGCAAAACAGTCCTGTAGCTTAGCATCTGCGTCATCTGACCACTTCCTTATTAACCGAGTCACAGGTGCTTCCTGCTTTAGTTTTTGCTTATAAGCAGGAATCAGGAGGATAGAGTTATGGTCAAATTTGCCAAATGGAGGGCGAGGGAGAGCTTTGTACGTGTCTCTGTGTGTGGAGTAAAGGTGGTCTAGAGTTTTTTTTTCCCCCTCTGGTTGCACATTTAACATGCTGGTAGAAATTAGGTAGAACGGATTTAAGTTTCCCTGCATTAAAGTCCCCGGCCACTAGGAGCGCTGCCTCTGGATGAGCATTTTCCTGTTTACTTATGGCCTTATACAGCTTATTGAGTGCAATCTTAGTGCCTGCATTGGTTTGTGGTGGTAAATAGACAGCTACGGAAAATATAGATGAAAACTCTCTTGGTAAATAGTGTGGTCTACAGCTTATCATGAGATACTCTACTTCTGGTGAGCAAAATCTCGAGACTTCCTTAGTATTAGATTTTTTGCACCAGCTGTTGTTTACAAATATACACAGACCGCCACCTCTTGTCTTACCGGAGTCAGCTGTTCTATCCTGCCGATGTAGCGTATATCCCACCAGCTGTATGTTATCCATGTCGTCGTTCAGCCACGACGTTTTTAATGTTCTGTTGGTAGGATAACCGTAATCTTATGTCGTCTAATTTATTTTCAAATGATTGAACATTGGCTAATAGGATTGATGGAAGAGGCAGTTTACTCGCTCGCAGTCGGATCCTTACAAGGCACCCCGACCTACGTCTACGATATCTCCGTCTCTTTCTCATGTGAATGACGGGGATTTGGGCCTTGTCGGTGTGTGTAGGACATCCTTCGCGTCCGACATGTTGAATAATTTTTTTCCGGCCAATACGAGGTGAATAATCGCTGTCCTGATATCCAGAAGCTCCTTTTGGTCATAAAATACATTATGTACAGAATAAATTACAAATTACGCGAAAAAACACACATAATAGTACAATTGGTTAGAGGGCTGTAGAACGGCAGCCATCTTCTTCGGCGCCATTCAGTAAAGACCTTGACCCTTGACCTTGACCATTGACCATACCTTGACCATCTCCTTGTACTTGTCCTTCAGCTGTTGGTACATGATGCTGTACTTCTCTACAGGCAGCAGGGACAGGGTACTCCTGTACTCACTGGTCTTACCCTCTGTGGCCCAGCATACCAGTTTGGGCAGGAGCTCCCCACCCAGCCAGGGCAGTTTGGGGTAGGCCACCTTGTCACTGAACCAGTCATCAGGCCGCAGGAGGTGTAGCCCCAGTGACCTGGAGACGAGATTACAGAGCAAAGTAATGTAGACACTAACCAATCATAATTTTTCTCAGGCAGAAGGTGTATCTGATAGATGTTGTTCTTCCTTAGAGACGCAGTTTCTTCCACACTCTCTTCAACTGGTAAGAAGCTTACTTTACTCTTTGAGAGTCAAAGTCTGAAAATGTAAAGATTTTTTAAAAAGGAACACACAACATTTCACATATCTGACTGTATCCAAATACGTGTTGTGCACATGTTGTAAAGTCAGCCAGAACTCAATGATAAGAAGCTTAATGTCATTAACATGTCCTTACCTTTTAGTATAATGTCTTTATGTACAGTTGTGCCATAAGTTTACGTGAGGAATTAAAGTCCTCACACAAAAATACCACAGTCTCTCCTTGTCATATTCAAGTTCAATACCACTATTCACTAAAGAAAGAACATCCTTGGACTCTGATGTATCACATCCATGAATTAGGAGGATGTTTACAAATTCTTCAAAGCCCACATTCTTGCTCTCTGTCTCTGACTCCACAAAGACGTTTGTTCACAACGTGTTGTTTATTTATCCAAACATCAATGCCAGACCAAAATCCTCCCGGAAGAGAATTGAATTTGTCTGTAAACTTAATCTCAAAGAGTTTCATCATAGTCTAGATATAAGAGCAAATTGCATAGGATGGCAGCATAATACATTGCAAACGTGTTTACAAAAAAACACTTTCGGGGACTTTTATTTTCAAAGGGATTTTGTCGCACGTCGATGACGCCATGAAAGCGCGCCTCAGAAGAAAAGAGCGCTGTTCGAAAAACCAACAGCAGAGAGTGCTGTTGTATCTTTAATCTCAACATCTTGACCGATCTTGTACTGGTGCTGCTGTCCAGTACCATTCAATTGGACATGATTTTAGTATGCAGACGATGTGAAATCAGGATGCAAAAAAAAGAAATCACAAGTTTGGCCTCACACCAATGACTAATCTGGGTTATTACCCTTTACTCTTTTGCCTTTCTATGCCGATTTCCAAACACTCTGCTCACTGATCACCTGCTTAATGTTTTGATAAACACTGCAGGGGTAGAAGGTCTGATGCGAATCCTGACAACTTCCCTCACATGACCATTACAGCACCATGAAAATACTTCCTGTGAAACAAGGAGCATCCAAAGATTTTGATAACTAACCCCTGAAAGGTTTCCCCTTTCATCTGTGGAGCATCTGAGGTGGATCCTGGTCCCAATTGTCAGGTGAGAAAGGGCTACAGAAAAATGTCACAAGCCTCCAGGTCACACACACATCATAAAGTACGAGCTTCCCACGCTTTAAGCTGACACTAAGAACCTTTTGCTCAAGAATTTGCATTCTGAACCCTGTGACATATACGTTTAAAGACTAAATTTAGTCTTTCCACCATTCCCACTTACTCATCCTCTCTAGAAACGGAATATCACATCGCAACTTGGTATCATTAGGTCATTATATTTCTCAATCCACTTGGTGAATGAATGGTAAATGAGTAATGCATCACTCCTACACAACCAATTACTCAACATCTGATATTGCAATTATCTATTTTCACAATAACAATGATTTTTACATAATCATACATTAACATCTACAGTATATCCATGTGATAATGTCATGAAAGAAAACCAGTTTACACTTTGAGCGCCACTCTTGATTGTAAGGTCCTTTGAATGGAGCTCCATTCCCTTTCTATTGTGTTGTGTGTACCATCCCATTAGTACCAGGAAGTTTCATGGAGGGTCACGCCACTTTGTTGCTGCCTGGGTGTACATTCAAATCAGAGGCCATGTGAGAGGCAAAAATGTAGTCAAACTGGTTAGGCAGGAGCAGACAAATACGGTAAAGAGGGAGAGAGAGAGAGCCAGAGTATAGTTTCTCTACAGTACTGCTGGCAAGTTTCGACATCATTCAAACAAAACAAGCAAAAGGTCTATGGAGATAGAAGTACCCTGAGACTGTTATTGATGGAATATAACAGCAATATGTTTCACCTTATACTATGATCACCTGCTTTTCAACTTAATCTTTAGAATTTACAATGGCCACATTTAGGGCCCGTTGTCCACACTAGCCCTTTGTCCACACATACAAATATAAATAAAACGGGAGGTTGAATCACAGTAAAGTTTTAGGCAAAGGAGAGCACATTATACAACATACATGATATAAGATAATTATCTTAATTTATAATTTATACATAATGAGCATTCATATTGTTAAAAAGAGCCATAAGAATGTATGATCATTAGGCTAAAGTCTATCTAATTGTAGTAATTGTGGTGTGATTGCACCACATTATTATGTGTAATATATGATTGTGAAATTCATTTTTATTTTACCTTTATTTTAACTAGGTAAGTAAGTTAAGAACACATTCTTATTTACAATGACGGCCTACATTATGTCATACATTATTGTAGAATGGCGGGTGGCTAGGCAAGTGTTGCACAGGTGGACATTGAAAAGGGGTGGAGTGAAAATATTAGGAAGAGGCAGAGAGAGCACTGTGGACAGGTAGCCAGAAACACACCAGCTGAAGAGAGGATTCTCAGATATTTTGCGATGAGATAAAACAACCGACACTCTAAGAAAACAAAATAATGATACTTTGTTGACGAAATGAAGAAAAACAGTATGGCGTGTGATGTGGATTATCCCTAGGTCTATCGACCCTATTGGGAATACTTTCATTTGTTGTTGTAGCGCATAACCGAAAGCTCGGTTCATAAATAAGCAAGATCGTGGCCCCGGTAGACTTTGGGTCATTTTATTGACGGTAAGTATTTAGCACTCACCTTTGTTGAACTAGCCTTTGGCATCAATTTACCCCACCAGTCTATACAGTAAATTGACAGTATTTATTCTGAAAGACAAAGCAATGGCGTCCCACAACTACAGTTAGTGGCGTTCAATAATGCATAGGCCTACACCTTGATTTACTATCAAATCCAGTGTAACAAATGTTGCAAAGAGTTACTTTTCGGGATCGCCAACTCAGTTGAGAAAAAAAATGCAGTGTTTCCCAAACCAAGGGGTGCATGTTTTGGTTTTTGGCCTAGCCCTACATAGCTGATTAAAATAGTAAACTCGCCATTAAGTTTTGATTATTTGAATCAGCTGTATAATGCTAAGGCAAAAACCAAAACGTGCACCCCTTGGGGTCCCCAGGACTGAGTTTGGGAAGTACTTATTTAACAAGGGTCGTAGGAAAATAGTTCTGTCAGGGCTAAGAGAGGTTAGTGTATACCCAGGATCATATATATATATATATATATATATATATATATATATATATATATATACAGTGCTATGAAAAAGTATTTGCCCCCTTTCTAATTTTCTCTACTTTTGCATATTTGTGATACTGAATGTTATCAGATCTTCAACCAAAACCTAATATTAGATAAAGGGAACATAAGTTAACAAATAACACAACAATTACATATTTATTTCATAAACAAAGTTATGCAACACCCAATTCCCCTGTGTGAAAAAGTAATTGCCCCCTTACACTCAATAACTGGTTGTGCCACCTTTAGCTGCAATGACTCCAACCAAATGCTTCCTGTAGTTGTTGATCAGTCTCTCACGTCGCTGTGGAGGAATTTTGGCCCACTCTTCCATGCAGAACTGCTTTAACTCAGTGATGTGTGGGTTTTCAAGCATGAACTGCTCGTTTCAGGTCCTGCCACAACATCTCAATTGGGATTAGGTCTGGACTTTGACTAGGCCATTCCAAAACTTCCAAATTGTTGCTTTTTAGCAATGTTCATGTAGACTTGATTGTGTGTTTTGGATCATTGTCTTGCTGCATGACCCAGCTGTGCTTCAGCTTCAGCTCACAGACATATGGTCTGACATTCTCCTGTAGAATTCTCTGATACAGAGCAGAATTCATGGTTCCTTCTATTAAGGCAAGTCGTCCAGGTCCTGAGGCAGCAAAGCATCCCCAAACCATCACACCACCACCACCATGCAGTGGAATGGAATGCAGTGTTTGGTTTTCGCCAGGCATAATGGGACCCATCTCGTCCAAAAAGTTATACTTTTGAATCATCTGTCCATAGAACATTCTTCCAAGAGTCTTGATGATCATCCAGGTGCTTTTTGGCAAACTTGAGTCAACTTTTTGGACGAGATGGGTCCCATTATGCCTGGCGAAAACCAAACACTGCATTCCACAGTAAGAACATCATACCAAAGGTCAAGCGTGGTGGTGGTGTGATGGTTTGGGGATGCTTTGCTGCCTCAGGACCTGGACAACTTGCCTTAATAGAAGGAACCATGAATTCTGCTCTGTATCAGAGAATTCTACAGGAGAATGTCAGACCATCCGTCTGTGAGCTGAAGCTGAAGCACAGCTGGGTCATGCAGCAAGACAATGATCCAAAACACACAATCAAGTCTACATGAACATTGCTAAAAAGCAACAAATTGGAAGTTTTGGAATGGCCTAGTCAAAGTCCAGACCTAATCCCAATTGAGATGTTGTGGCAGGACTTGAAATAAGCAGTTCATGCTTGAAAACCCACACATCACTGAGTTGAAGCAGTTCTGCATGGAAGAGTGGGCCAAAATTCCTCCACAGTGACGTGAGAGACTGATGAACAACTACAGGAAGCATTTGGTTGGAGTCATTGCAGCTAAAGGTGGCACAACCAGTTATTGAGTGTAAGGGGGCAATTACTTTTTCACACAGGGGCATTGGGTGTTGCATAACTTTGTTTATGAAATAAATATGTAATTGTTGTGTTATTTGTTCACTTATGTTCCCTTTATCTAATATTAGGTTTTGGTTGAAGATCTGATTACATTCAGTATCACAAATATGCAAAAGTAGAGAAAATTAGAAAGGGGGCAAATACTTTTTCATAGCACTGTGTATATATATATATATATAGTAAAAATAAAGAAAAACCTTGAATGAGTAGGTGTGTCCAAACTTTTGACTGGTACTAATATTATATATATATATATATATATATATATATATAATATTAGTACCAGTCAAAAGTTTGGACACACCTACTCATTCAAGGTTTTTCTTTATTTTTACTCTTTTCTACAATGTAGAATAATAGTGAAGACATCAAACCTATGAAATAACACATATGGAATCATGTAGTAAACAAATCGTGTTAAACAAATCAAAATATATTTTAGATTCTTCAAATAATATGGACTTGGTCTTTTGCCTTGATGACAGCTTTGCACACTCTTGGTATTCTCTCAACCAGCTTAACCTGGAATGCTTTTCCAACAGTCTTGAAGGAGTTCCCACATATGCTGAGCACTTGTTGGCTGCTTTTCCTTCACTCTGCGGTCCAACTCATCCCAAACTATCTCAATGGGGTTGAGGTTGGGTGATTGTGGAAGCCAGGTCATCTGATGCAGCACTCCATCACTCTCCTCTTGGTAAAATAGCCCTTACACAGCCTGTAGGTGTGTTGGGTCATTATCCTGTTGAAAAACAAATGATAGTCCCACTAAGCGCAAACCAGATTGGATGGCGTATCGCTGCAGAATGCTGTGGTAGCCATGCTGGTTAAGTGTGCCTTGAATTCTAAATAAATCACAGACAGTGTCACCAGCAAAGCACCATCACACCTCCTCCTCCATGCT